TCTCGTCTGTATTCGCGCAAGCGGTGTCTACGCCAATTAAGAAGAAGAAGAATGTTAAGAAGTGCTCTTCTGTCATTCCATTTACTAACAAGCTTTCCATTTTATCTCCCTACTGTATATAAAAAGCTTTCTCTACCAACTAGAGTTGAGAAATTCATTTTCATTTAGTATACGGTCAATACTCGATTTTTGCTCAGTTCCAATTTCTTAAAAAACTATACAAATATTATTTCTAAATGGATTTAGTGACTGTCGTAACAAAAGAAAAGTATAAAAAATAACTTCACAAAACAAGCATTCAAGATTCACTTACTTATGTATAAATCAACATTTATTAATTATGCTTTGCTTTACAATACGTCGGCCATAATATTTTTCTATTTTAATACAAAATAAAAATTTCAGTGGAAATTACATTTCCTAGTTGTACACATAGTAGTAGGTTTTGCAGACTAGATACATATGTACATATATATTTTCAATATATTTGTTAATAAAAGGTAACTATACATTTTAAAATAATATTAATCTATATGTACATATGTATATACATATAGTATATTAAATGGTGTTATTTAGTGTCGCTAAATCTCAAGAACGGCTGAATGGTTTGAGCGCTGCGAAAGTATGGGAAATTTGCGAGGCAAATACTAAAAAGGGTTCAGTATTTTTAGAATAATCCTCAATACTTGTATATAAAAAATTTTCGTTTTTCTCTAAACCTCAAACGATCTGGTCGTTATAGCTGATTTTAGGTTTGAAATGTTTATCGTAGTCCAAGAAGGTTTTAAAAAGTAAGAATATATGGAAAACTTACAAATCTGTATAATCTAATAAGGGAAAAATATTTTGGTATTCTGTGACAATCTTGATAAAAGTAAAAGCTTCAAATCGCAAAGCTTTTCGCACACGTGTGGAGAACAAAATAATGTAAATAGATATGCGTGCAGCCAAATGCTCCTATGGTGCTTTTTGTTCCAAATTTTTTTAAAAATCTAGAATAGCCGACTTTGCGTATAGTTCCACTGCGGTACAGGCGATGTGGGTATCATCATACCTTCGGAAGCCAAGAAGAAAGCGATAACAGGTTATCCGGTGTCCACCGACCTGAGGGCAATACAAAAGTTTTTGGAGCTAACTCTAATAAGAAATTACAGGCTGCTTTAGTTGCTAGTTTTTAAACTTTATAATTCTAAGGCATAACCGAAGTTATATTATCATTGTTATCATATTGACCCATCTATATTCGGGTACGGTGAAGGTCTTCTACAGAAATGTTTCGATCCAATCCAAAAAAAATCATTACCCAAATTAGATCTTTCAGTGATCTTTTTGTTCGATTATTGGCAAAGCCCCGGGATGTATTGAAAAGAAACTTGTAAGTCAATATGATAAAACGGTCCAAGGTTTTATATGAGAGCTCAAACAAATGCCCAAAGTAGCAGCGATGGTATCGACATAGAAATTGTCGAACGGGAGCAACAAAAATCAGCTTTCAATTTATTGTGAGCAACAATTACATTTTGTTAATTGTTAATCAGCGGAATAACTACATCAACAGATTTGAACTATTTATTTTTTTATTTTTATTTTATTTTATAACGGTTTGATGACTCATGCCCAGCTCTTGACCGATGCTACGGCTGCTACTATGCCGGTCTCTTTCCACCAATTCAGCCATTTTATCGCAATTTTCGACGACAGGCCTTCCGGATCTTCGACCACTTCTACACCAGAACTAAAACGTTGAAGCTATCGATGTGCGGTGGAAATGGAAACTCTAACGGGTCCATAAACCGCAAAAATTTTATTGACGGCTTGAGATGCATTTTTGCCTTTATCGTACTAGTACTGTAAAATATGCCGTATTTTCTCTTTATTTTGCTCCATGTTTGCGAAACGTGTTAGCGCGTAAAATTAGCTTTCCAAAAAGGTATAGCATGACCCGATGCGACGAATAAAGCTAGAACTACGCGCTCTCAGCGCCAACTAGCGAAAATACCGCAACCTATATATTATACCAATAGAATTCGATATGGTGCAAAACTTTATGACTCATTAACACCTTCACCACAAGAGTTGAATCACACATTTCTTTGCATAATTTAGAATATTGAACGTATACATTTCGCTAATGAAACTCATCTTATAAAGAAAGAGTTCACGACAAATGTTTGGTTGCGTAATTTAAACCCCTCTTGCGACTATACCTGAGAATTTCAAATATTCAAGTTGGGCGTCGATTAGAATCAATAGATACTCCAGAATGACTCAATATATACTTACATCATCGGAACCTACCACCCAGAACCAAAAACATTCGTAGCTCAGATAAGACTTCAGACTTGGATGGGCAATGAGCGCGATGTAACAAACGCGAATTGAGCACTCATTGTAAATGTTACAATCCAAAGCTAATGGGAGAGTTAACTGTCGAGCGATTGACTCCATCTGCGTGCAAAAGCAGCGATATTGACTTCTGCGGAGGAGTGAACGTATATTTGTGTATTCGAGGGCAAATACCTTATAAAATGTATATTCCGCTCTCCGTTTGCATAACGACAAAAGCGATCCATATCAAACTTGTATCGGATCTATTCACGGATGCATTCTTACCGCCATTGAAGCGGAAGATAGGAAGATCGAGGATGTAACAAACTTTGTGGGTCCTTAGATGAAACCAGCTGAATTAAAAATTTTTTAATTAAAACCGAGAACAAAGAAGCAATTGCATCTTGCAGATTGCAAAATATTGTGCAAATGAATTTTTAAACTCTAATTTTATTTCTCCCAAGGAATCTCACTGAATGAGGGAGTAACCCTCAACCGTACCATCAAAAATGTAAAACTCACAGCTGGAATGGTGGAATCAAATCGCAAGCATTTCCAAAGAGATGGTCAAATGAATTTATTAACGAACTTCTATTACGATCAGTGTGATAGTCGGAGCAATCACTCAGCGGCAATAATTCGATGTCTATCATTTATGAAGAGAACCATCACACCATCGGCATACACATTGGTAGAGTTATCAACTCTATTCGAGGAAAGAATTCTTCTAATATATGTGTGGTGGACATTAGAACAACCAAGGCAATCATTCGGCGACCGATTTACAAACTAGCACTTCTTGCCCATGCTTTCTTTTTGACGTATATTTATTAATGCACATTCGCTAATCCCTATAATAAATAGTAAGCCTAATTGTAAGAAGTCTGTTGTATTGCTGCATTTCCACTTTTTGCATTTCTCTTTTTCTTTAAAATTATATTACATACGAAGAAGCAAGAGCGTCAAATATGAACGTGGGTCATTCTCCTTTTATAAACTGTTTAATACAAGTGCTTACATATATAATGCTCAACGTCGCTTGGACTTTCCGCTTAACGTTATCAATATTTTGTTACAATGAACCAGGTAGTCGCAAGCATATAGGCAGGGTACCGAAGGCCATCAACAACACCGCGCCTTGTAGCACCGATGAAGAGAGTGTCCAAAAGGCGCTGGTGTTTCTCCCATTATTGGGCCGTTACGGGGACACTGCTCCGTCCAACGGCCAATAGAGTAACCTATTCCAGTCACTTGGCTGGGGTTGTGGGCTGTACGACTGCGATATCTCTTTAATCGACCGCGCGGGTGGTCGGTGCTACTGAAGACGCATCTTCCAGCGCTTACAGGCGCACGCACCCAAACTTTGGGCGCTCTAGCTAGGATCTAAGCTACCGGGGGGTCGGCAGGTCAGCGTCTGTTCACCATGTTAGATGCGGCTGATATTTCAACTTGACCGATTCACAGCGTCACGCCCCTGGAGTCTTTGGATATCTTGACAGCGATGTCTCCGCTGGTAGGATGTAAAGGGAGATGTGAGCTTGCTCTGCCGATGTGTTGGCCGCGTGTTGTATCAGCCACTTCGGTCCTGAGGAGAGTGCATTGAGCGCAGGAGTATTAGCCTGCGTTGCCTGGGCAACGCCGGTCCGTCCGTGTTTTCTAAGACTGGTAAATCGAAGGACAGGATTCAGGGAACTGGGGTGGGAGCATGGTCTCCGAGGGTACACCCGTCTTTGTCTATTTCGGATTTGTCCAGGATAACGCTGACCAATAGCGGATCTAGAGAAGCTGACCAAGAAGCAATGAAAGTTCTTCAGTCAGATCCATGATCTGCTTACTTCTGTATCGAGAATCTAAACACCCGCCCAAAGCAAATACAATAGAAGGAAAGCAGACAAAGTGTCCTCCTAATGCTCACAGGAGCAGAAAAAGCCTAACGAGGATGAGCAGCTGACGTGGAAGACTCCGTCTAAAAAAAGAAGAAGTCCAAGAGAGGAAGGCTGTTTTTACTCGACTTCCGAGGCCCGCTGCAATTATCATTGCGCACACTGGAAAAATGTCGTACAGCGATATGCTTAGAACCGTAAAAAAGGAGGATGCTCTGAAAGAGATTAGAGAGGACGTTTCGCGACCGACCGCATGAACACCTAACGTTTGGGATACACACTTCAATTGAAACAGCCGACAGAGAACGCACTTTAATTTAAAAAGTCAACAGAGACACTCGTACATTAAAGGAGCCGACAAAAGGCAGATAAGTATTTTTCCATATAAATTTAATTCCATAAGTGGTGTAAAGGCTAACCTTTCAAAAGTTAGAGTCAGCGGACTCAATACTATTTTTTAAGAAGCTAGGGAATGACACATTGGGCCTAAACATAACCTATTATATATCAAATGACGAAGTAACCGATTCGACCTTTTCATTAAAAAATGGTCAATGGGTTTCCCTTACTTTTTCGAAATTTCAATCAATATGCCAGAATCGCTTTTTGAATCGGTAGCAGGTTAGTTAACTTTTACCCGTCTTGTACATTCCACAAAGCATTGTTATTCACGTCAAGGGATAAAAAATAAAAAGACCTACAACGATCTTTGAAAAGTTATATATTCACATTTTTCTGGTAATTATATCAATAAAAATACTGTAGTTTTGTCAGCTTTAGACTTACCTTGTCCCACTGCAAGTTGGGCGGAACATGTCACGCTTTCAATTCCAGATATTGCTTTTGCAGTGTAAGTACCAGCATCAGACTCACTAGAAAAAAGTATCAAAGCAAAAATAATGTTCAGACATATTATCGTTTCTAGATATTATTATATTAATTATAATAAATTGTAATTATTTATTATAAGGTGCCATTTTAACCCCGTTTTTCAATATATGATTCATATCATAAAACAAATAAAGAAGAGTAGGTGAATTATTACCATCGAAGGCAAAATGCTAATAAAAGTAGTCTTACTTAATGTCATATGATATCAAGGGCTAGAGAATATAATCGAGTTCGTAGATCACTCCAAGACGGATTTCGTGGAGGTCGTCCAAAATCAGGTGTTCCGGAAATTATTGATGCTGTGTTATATTGTCAGATCGTTTTGTGACCTATCCTGATTAGTGGGACCAACTTACATTTAATATTGCATGTACATTTGACTGTAAAAAATAAGCTGGTGTCAATTGTTCAGGAGAATTGTTAAAAAATATAATAGCTGTGCTTGGAAACACTTTTGTGTAATTGTAAGAAATGACGAAACGTTGATTTACGCGTCTCCGGCCAAAAGTAAAGCTCGAAATGAGCAGAATCCAACAAAAGTTCTCTGAGCACAAAGCACTTCCAAGCAACTGTTTTGGTTTTTGCTGATCATTTCGCACCAAACACTAGAAAAACGCAAAACAGTTAATTGTGAGTGGTAAAAAACCATTTGGAGGATGGAGTCATGTCTAGAAGTTCACGCAAGTGAGGAAAGTTCTCTAATCGCCATTCACTTGGGAGTGCCCAGAAACGATCCTTTTACATATGACTCACGCAGCTCACGACTTCCGGTCCTTGACCAAGGACCGGCTATCCTCTGGGTAGCCTAAGAACATCCGTTTGAAGGGGAGCTAAAGTGAGGAGGCGAAACATTGCCTGCATGGTGTTGTGCGATGGGTTTGAGGCCCGCCACGTAAAAAAAACCCCAATGAAAACGCAACAACAGCCTCGGATGAGAGGCTACTTCGGACTGAGTAGGCAATTGAGAAGCAAAGTCCTCTTTCGACAAACAAAAACCAAACTCTATAAGTCACTCATAATTCCCGTCCTGCTATATGGTGCAGAGGCTTGGACGATGTCAACAACGAATGAGTCGACGTTGCGAGTTTTCGAGAGAAAAGTTCAGCGAAAGATTTATGGTCCATTGCGCGTTGGCCACGGCGAATATCGCATTCGATGGAACGATGAGCCCGACGACATTGACATAGTTCAGTGAATTAAAGACAGCGGCTACGCTGGCTAGGTCATGTTGTCCGGATGGACGAAAACACTCCAGCTGTGAAAGTATGCGACGCAGTACCCGCCGGGGGAAGCAGAGGAAGAGGAAGACCTCCACTCCGTTGGAAGGACCAAGTGGACCTTTCTTCACTTGGAATATCTAATGGGCGTCACGTAGCGAAAAGAAGAAACGACTGGCGCGCGGTTGTTAACTCGGCTATAATCGCGTAAGCGGTGCCTACGAAAATCAAGAAAAAGAAGAAAAAACCATTTGTTTACCAGTTGTCTTTCAAGAACTAAGCAATGAAAACGGATCACTTTTCCCCACGGCAATACGAGCTGTTACATGGACTAAAAAACTGTATTTTATATGTAATCCACTTTAAAGTCTTGACATGGCATTAAATGATTTCTTAATTAGAGTGGCAAAAGTGTGTCGAATAATGGTTCAAACGCATGGGTTTTTCAATAAGAGCGCTAGAAAAGTTGTTTAATAAAACAAAAGCGGTTTGGGATATCAATGAAATTTTTTCTTCGTATGAAAGTGCATTCGATGTCATTATGTAGGGAACTCGATTCTTTTAATAATTTCGACTCGTTGTTGGATTCTATATCTTTCCACAACGAAATTGCAAACCTCACTGAAGAGAAATGTCGAAAGAGCAGGAAAAAATATGGCGTGGTTTGCTGTCCCTTTTGGTCTACTTTCGTAGCGTAGCAATTGAAAACCCCTTTAAAAGTATATATATAGTACATATCTTAATGGAGAACATTATTTGAACAGTAAAATTATTTTCGATGAATAAAATTCGTTTTTTTCTCTAATACCGAAATGTAGTTAAAATGTAACCAACGTAGATGCTATTTTGGTAATCCATGAAGGATCCTGCACGTTACAATTAATGCATTAACTAATGTAACAAGTTAGTAGTTTATATAATATTAAATAATATGTAAAGTCCACTTGTTAATTGCCTCTGAAGTACGACAAAATTTTCAGCTGTATTCATTCCTTAGTGAAACCCCCCTTTTAATAACGACCATGGCAAAAGCATTAAGAATAACGATTTAAGGCCATTCACTCGAATCTCCGGTTGTTCAGTTGGGATGGTACCGCTACCCAGCTGGTTGTTGTCTTCGTGAAAATAAAAGCTGACAATACCGCTATCCAAGAAGTGCGATTGGACAAGGACTGAAACGAGTAGGTCCTTGTAGAATTTACTACAGTGGCCAAATAAAGGAGCGCAAATTCAGTGTGGGATTCGTGGGTTTAGCCACAATCCACATCAAGGCTAAGTTCTTCAACATATCGCTGATTTGAGCTCACACCTCAACGGAATCAAAGGACAATGTGATCAAAGATACCTTCTATGAGCGCTAATATGACTGTGTAAATTGACGTTGAGCGACACCAAAAGCTCCGTCAGGATTGGGAAGGATTTCTCCGAGCCGTTCGATGCAAAACGAGGTTTCAGACAAGGCGAACCATTGAGCAACTTCTTCAATCTGCTGCTGGCGAAAATAATTCCAGCTGCAGAACTTAATCGATGCTGATGATATTAATATCATTGGCCTCAACATCCGCGCCGTGAGTTCTTCTTTCTCCCGACTGGATTAGGAAGCAAAGCAAATGAGTCTGGTAGTGAACGAGCCCAAGAGGAAATATCTCCTGTTATCAAACAAACAGTTGTTACACTCGCGACTAGGCTCCCACGTCACTGCTMACAGTAATAATAATTCGTAGATAATTTCGTCTATCTTGGAACTAGTATTAACACCAATAACAATCTTGGCAACAGGTTCTACTTGGGACTGAGTAGGCCATTGAGAAGTTAAGTCCTCTCTCGACGAACAAAAACCAAATTCTATACGTCACTCATTATTCCCGTCTGCCTATATGGTGCAGGAGCATGGATGATTACAACTTCTGATGAGTCGACGTTACTAGTTTTGTTCAGCTCTGAAAGTATTCGAAGTAGTAGTGTTTACGCCAGTAAGGAAGAAGTAGAGTAATTTCTTACTTTGTCTGTAGAAGCGAGGTTTAGACATGTTTTTATGAAAATGACGATTTTCGTTTCTTATAAGCTCATGCTTTCTGATCAAAAACAATACTGTAACGATGACCGATACTCAATATTCGCCAAAAAAGAGAACGTTAACCCGTTTTACAAGATTAATGACAGGAAGCGCATCGGTGAAAGCGATTAGACTATACCACAAATCGGGTTTGAGAAGTATTTTGACGATTGGAAGAAGCGCTCACATAAGTGCATAGTATAGAATAGGAATAGGAAAGCGACAACATTAATGTAGAAGAATGAATAAGTATGTTTTTTTTTTTGAACGAAAATTATTGCTTTTTTTTAAATACACTTCGTACTGATATAAAGTGAGACTTATGCTACAATCAGATTCTTTGCTTAGCAAACAGTTTTATATCTAATAATTTTGAATTTACTGAAAATTACCTGCAATTTTTAATATCCAGTCGGTATGAATTCATCGCTGCTTCTGTTTGCACAACTCGGTCAGCAAGTTTATCTTCCAAGGGCTTGTTATCTTTTAACCAAACCACTAATCCGGGTTTTTCAACAAATTGTACCTCGAAATGAGCAGACTCTCCAGCTATAAATGTTTTAAAATACGAAAATATTGTACATGAAAACACTATTTTAAGGTATCACATAAATGTATGTTTAAAAACATTTTCAACTAAAATATTTTTATTATATATGTAAGTACAAAAGAGACTTTTAAAAGGCTTGCATTTTTTCGTTATATGTATTAGTCATTAATTTTTATACTCTCACAACATGTTACGGATTAACAACATGTTACGGATTAACAACACTTAATACTATTTGACACGTTTCAGGAGGATCAAATGAGTTGAACTCGGATGATGTCTTTATTGAGTAAAAACGGTGGCCAAAATCGGACCATTGTCATATCCACAAAGTATCCTTAAGTGGCAAATTGAACCAGACTATAAATTTTCAAGCCCCTTTATTCCGAATATAGCAAGGAGGGTATAACTGATTTTCATCCGTATAAATTGGTCAAAGTCTGTGTTAACTTAATAAATTCAGAGAGGTCCTTTTCGTAACGAAAGTTGTAAAAATGACTGAAAGCGGTCCATGAATTAGACCAACGCCCTTACAATACATATATTATTATACTAAATGATGGTATATTAGTATAATGTCAAAATTAAATAAATATAATTAGCTCAGAATTGGTCAATATATGTGATATTTGAATGAAATTAAGTGGACATGTTTTCTTCACTATAGGATGGTTTAGCGCTGAATATGAAGGAAGTTATACAAGTACATAAATATGTATATACATATAAAATTTCATTTTCTTTTTGACTTTATAATGCATATGGATATGTATCTCTAATAGTAAAGATATGTTAATAAATTTAAGCGATTATATACCGTTTTCATTATGTTTTTGTATTTTTATTTTACACGATTTGATATTTTAATTATTCAGTTAGTAGGAGTATAGGCGCTGTGTTTCTAACTAGTCACATTTTTTCATCCCTTGTTATGTGAGACTACGGAAAGTGCTCCTTTAATTTGGTTTATTGCAGGCATCGTTAGATTAACAAGTCTGAGTATTATACTCACTGCAAGATATTGTAATTTTCATTGACCTATTTTTTCTACGGAACAGCTATGAGAAATTTAAATCTACAATAATAATTTTGTGACTTTTCCTTAAAATTTTTTAGAAATAATGCTTGCACTTAAATATATATATTTCGCATACGTTCGTACAATCGCTTGAAAATATTTTAATGTAAATTCTAAAAAAAAGAGGAGAAGCATATATGAGTTGTAAGTTTAATTAAATAAACTATATAATAAAAACATGCGAAGAAATGTTAAAAAGTATGCTTACGTTTAACCTGAGCGCTTTTTGCTGGTCGATGAATTTCGGGTTTTTCTAACGACTTTAAATTGTTTTCTTCCATCATGCGTGAGGATGATCGCGTTCCGATTCTCGACCCATAGTATTCTTCGTTTCTGCTTTCAGCTCGGCTTGAGGAAAATATAGATCTATGATCGTCTTGTTTCCTCCTCTCTACTCTTGAGCTTGCTGTACTTCTCAAATTGTCTCCGTAATTGTCATATGAAGAACCTCTCTCATAATCTCGAGTAGTCGAACTCACTTGCAAAAAAAGATATAACTCAGTGTTGAATATGTGAATTTGACATACGCATGCATATTGTGGTACGTATAATACATAAGTGTATTTTTGAATCACATCGATATTAATGATTGAAAAGAGATACACATGTCTAATTTAGCAATATGTTCGATTTTATTAATATTGAGCGTTTGAATACCTATTTAATTTACTAATTTCTAAGAGTTTGAAAAATGTCTAAGAATAATTAACTTTCTATCAAATATTTAAGTATATATATACATATCGAGTATATATATTTAGCAGGGGTTTAAAATTCAATTTTCAATATTTTGAAATTAATGCGAAGACAACATTATTTTATGATGTTATTGGGTATTTATGTCTGTGTGAATGGCTTCTAAACAATTATTTAAGTACAGCAGGTTTTAAACATGTTAATAAATATAAGTATACTATAGTTTTTTTTTTTAACAAAATAGGACTCGCATGCTGTATATTTATCCCTATCTGGTATAAATTATCCCAAATGTGTAATCAAGTGTTGAAATAATACATGCATATATGGTAACCTAGCACTAATAGAAAATCGCAATAAAACATTAACTAAATGAATTAAAGCACAAGTCTCCTTGATTTTGCTGGTGATTTTCATGGTGTTGAATGAATTTTCCAGCGAGGCAAAGAAGAAGACAAAAGTATTCTTTAATTCTCAGAAAAGTGTATTGCTGAAGTGGTTGGACATAAGGCAGTCCAGATTTGCATCGATTGAGGATCTGTGCACACTTTGGAATCTTCTAAGCAATTTGACAACCCTAAACAACCAAAACTTGCAATTTCGACTGAATGAGACAAAATTGATATGCCTGTGTACAATTAGTGAAGGATTGGACCAAGGCATGTAAAAATAAAAAGAGGAGTATAACTAATCGCATCAAATATTGGTCCCTAAAAGACAATTAAATCAATTCAATTGAACATAATGCACAACATTAGGTTAATTTTGACTGATGAAAATGTAAACAAACCAAAATAACAAATTTTTGTGATAAGAACATATGTTTTCGATTTATTATTAGCTCCAGCACCTCAACATAATAAACTGTTTTAATATTTCGAAGCACTTATATATTATAAACAATCTAAACATTCATATTATTTCTTTTTCCTGACTATTTATCTGTTTAACACTAAACCACCGACAATTCTTATATATCTATTCCTACCGCGCGAGTTACATCCCATGCTAACCCAAGAACAACAGCAAACACAGATGGTGTGAAGATAKTCTCGTAGATAAGAAAATACATTTATTTAAGAAAACCAGAAGATATGTAAAATTAAGATATGAGAAGAAACACTGATCCTAAATAAATATTGAATGCAAATAAAGGATAAGCAGCACTGTGGAATTCTCCCACAGATAAGAATTTTTGTAAATTAGAAGATAAGCATTTTTGTAAAACTATAAAAGTAAGAAAATCTGTGAAATAAAGACACATTTTATTCTGACACTTTAAAGAGCCGGTCGTCTAAAATTGTTCCGTAATTGGCGCAGTCGGTAAACGTCTGACATAATCTTAAGATTGGTCAAACGGGTCACTCGGATTTTCCGAAGAAAATCCACACATAAAAAAAAACAAAAAAAATCAATTTTCAAAATAAAAATAAGGCATTTCCGAGGCCTTAAAACAGTTTTTATAAAAAAAAAAACAGAGAAGAAAAACATCACCATGGCAACTGTTAACAGCTCCGAGCTCCTGAAGGAAGCTTCGAGAATAAGGCCATTCAACGGAAGTGATGGTTACGACCTATCCTCATTTATAAGAGAAGTAGATGATATACTCCGCCTCTTTAACGATAACCCATCAAGCATCACGAAATAGCTATTCACAACAGAGTAGGAATAGCAATATAAGTCAAAGGCCTGTGCCCATGTAGACCATATGGATTACAATCAGGGCGAAAATTTTCGGTCACCAGCCCGGGGGAGGAGCTACCAATAGTAGAACTAACTATAGGTAGAAATAGATTGAAGTGTTTAATCGACACCGGTTCAAGGAAAAAATAAATTAGAAAATCCAATTAAATTAAAACCAATGAGTGGTGAATTTTTCATTACTGAAGAAGTGAAAACTCCCTTGCCTATGGAATTCAATACTGAAAACATCGTGCATTGGCATTTAACACCATTTTTTAATAGAAAATTCGACTGCTTAATAGGGCAGAATAATATCTGATAAATTCCCAATTCCAAATACAGATAGCATATCTGGAATATATTTTACGACAATTGATCTAGCCAAAGGTTTCCATCAAATTCTTATAAAAGAATGTGATAGAAAAAAACTGCATTTTCTACACCGTTAGGTCATTATGAATTCATAAGAATACCATTTGGTCTAAAGAACGGCCCAGCCACTTTCCAAAGATTAATGAACTCTGTCTTAAGAGAATACATTATTAAAATATTTATTTAGATGACATTCTCATATTTAGTTCCTTTCTTCAAGAAGACAAGGAAAGTATAGAAAAAGTTTTTAAAAAATTAAGAGAACACTGTTTAAAAATTCAAACCGATGAATGCAATTTTTTTGCTAAAACTACTGCATATCTTGGTCACATTCTAAATACAGAAGGATTTAAACCAAATCCTAATAAATAAAAGCAATTCAAAAATTAAAGCTTCCTGAAACAGTGAAGCAAATCAAATCTTTCTTAGGAGCAACAGGATATTATAGGAAATTCATTAAAGATTACGCTAAAATTGCTATTGGCATGACAAAATTTCTTAAAAAGGGAGTTCGTATTAATATTAAAGATCGAAAATTTATAGCCGCTAGAAGTATTAAAATATCCCAATTTCGAAAAGAAATTTAAAGTTGCAACTGATGCTAGCAATTTTGCAATTGGTGCCGTATTAATGCAAGATGGCCATCCCATTTGCTATRCTAGCAGGACACTTAATGAACACGAGAAGAGATATAGCACAACAGAAAAGGAACTCTTAGCYATCGTTTGGGCAGTTAATTATTTTAGACCCTACATTTATGGTAGGCATTTCGATCTTTTAACAAATCATTTACCACTTAAGTGGTTACAAACAAAATATAAGGGAAAAGACATAAATCCTTGATTACAAAGGTGGCTTCTGAAACTTGGAGAATACGATATATGCATTCAATATATAAAAGGCAAAGAAAATACATTGGCCGACTTTCTTAGCAGATTAGATGTAGATCCTGGAGAAATCTGCCTCATAAATCAAACTTCTGAAGAAGATGATTACATGAGTACAGCAGCTACAATTCACTCTCAGGTAGAAGAATTAAATGACCATGTCCCTACACTTGAATCTGTCATCAATCGTTTTCAGAGTCAAATTATTTTATGTGAACATAAAGTAAGAGACACTGAAAAAATAGGTAAAAATCTTAAGATTTACATAAGCCAAGATGACATTAATAGCGAATACATGGTAGACATCTTAAGGACACATGTTAAAACTAAAAAAGCGGGAATTTTTTCAGAAATAGCTGACTCCGAATACAACAAAGTTCAACTAAAATTAATCG